CTGCATTAATGCACAGCCGATTGCGAAATCGCTGGCATCACAGACCACATGAAATGGCCTGTCCTGATCGGCTATTGCTAGGACTGGGGATTGTATCAAGCTCTGCTTGATACCCTCAAAGGAGCGTTGACATTCAGCGTTCCATAACCACCTCTCGTTCTTTTTCAACAAACGAGAGAGGTGTACAGTCATCTCGGCGTAATTGCGTGAATACTTATGCAAATACGCCGCTAGCCCAAGGAATTTTCGAAGACCTTTGACATCGACCGGCACAGGCCAGTCGGTGATCGCCTTGATCTTTTCGGGATCAGGACGTACACCGTTCTTACCAACGATGCACCCAAGAAGTGGTATTTCGCTTGCTGCAAATATACACTTCTTGAGGTTAGCATACAATTGATGCTTTCGCATGATTGTAAGAACTTGTCGGACGTGGTACCTGTGAACCTCAACGTCCGACTTTCCATCCATAGCTCGACTATGGATGAATACGTCATCGAAATAACTCGGCGCGAACTCTCGTACTGGTCTCAACAGATGTGATACACATCTGTTGAACGTGGCAGGGGCATTACTGAGCCCTTGTGGCATTACTAGCCATTCCCAGAGCATGCCGCTAGGCGTGCTAACTGCGGTATAGGGTATATCCCGTTCCCGCATTAGGATTTGATAGAAGCCATCCATCAAATCCATGGACGAAAAGATGGTACTCTTTGACATACCATCAATGATTACGTCCTTCCTCGGTATCGGCGTCTGAGCCGGTACCGTTGCAGCGTTCAATTTGTTAAACGCGTGCACTATCCGCCACCCTCCTGTTGCTTTTCGCACACAGAAGGTCGGAGAGCTATGTGGGGAAGTTGATTCCCTCACATGGCCCGCTGCTAAACGATCGGCAAAGAACTTGTCGATCGCAAGTACTTGTTCACGAGGCAGTGGCCACTGCTTCATGACACAGTACTTCGAGCCTGGTTTAAGCTCGACTTCGTGTCGAATACCTTTATCCTTCGGTAATTCGCACGGAACAGTTTCAGGGAATACATCCTTGAATTCAACCAAATCTTCATAGAGAGGATTTTCCTTGAGCGATTCCCATGATTGGGACTCATATCGCTCAATTCGTGTCTTTTCATCTAGGACACTCTCGTCCATAGATGAACTACTGAGAACTCTCTCGTTCTCAGTAAACACTGTTGCTGACCTTATGTCGGTTACATACTCGTCGTCAGCGACGAGTATGCAGATCTGCTTGACTTTGCCACTACGCAGATCACGCAAGAACCTTTTATGTTCGAGCGTTGGCAACTGAGTGATCTCCGAAGTTAACTTCGGAGGCGCAATCAGATCAAGTGTATAAGCGCCTACACATGATCCGTTATTGACTATGACATTCAATGTCTCTGTCATTTCCTGGGGACTTATTCCCTCAGGCTTCGAAGGACTTATTCCTTCGGCTTCCCGGGGACTTATTCCCGCGGGTTTCGGGGAACTTATTTCCGCCGTATTTGTAATCTTGGGACTTATTCCCTTTACTTCCTCTAGCTGGGGTTGCGCAACCACAGCGAGATCCTCTACGAAAGACTCTCCAGTCGATCTAGGATTATCGTTTCGCTTAACCTGAGCGATCGATTGTTTCTCTTCTAGATGTTCCCCTCTAGGGATACATCTTTGTCCCAGTCCACCCGACTTATTCGAGTGGTGGACCTTCGGCGCAGCCTGTGTTTCCCTCACAGCCGCCGGAACTTGGCTCCGAAGTGTAACCGTTTGGTACACTAAGGTTTTGTGCAGTCGTACTAACGACCGTACCACAAGTGAGGCCATCGCACTCACTCGTAGTACATCCACACGCTTGTGGACGCTCCAAAACGTTCATCAGATGGCCATCTGATGAACAAGCGGCAGGCATCGTTACTGTCCGATGTTGCCAGTTTACCCGTGGTTCGTACCTTCTGAGCCACGGTATTCCAAGGATGACATCAAATTTGTCATCCAAATCCAATACGATAAAGTCATCGTCGTATTGGGTATCTTCTAGCGTATAGTGAATCTTCACTATACGCTTCATGACGGTTACGGATGCGCCTGTCGCAAGACGTACCGTCATCCTCGTAGGAGGTGTGTCACATTCACTGAATTTAAAGTGACCATCTTCTAGCGATTGGCGTCGCACAAAATTGTTGGACGCCCCACAATCGACTAGAGCTCGAAGGGACAACTTATTCGTCACTTCGAGTTTCAAGGTAATGAGTGAGATCTCATTACCTAGAGCAGCAACGCACAATGTCTGTGTGTTGGGAGCAACCTTCATCAAGAGGCCTACAAATTCTCTTGACGTTGCTGGATCAGTAGGGTGCTCCGCACCTACTGATCCTGTCCGTTTTTTGACGGTCCATCCCGTTGTTGCGTCTTTGCACCAACTGCGGACCCTCGTCCCTGCCCCTTTCTCATGGGTGGACGGTCACTACGCCCAGTGTCGCGAGACACTGGACGAGGGGCACTACACTCGTAAGCGTAGTGTCCTGTCTTTTGACATCTGTTGCATCTCTGCAACTTCTTGTAGCCTGTAGAGCGAGCCTTCTCGCTCTCTACATAACAGAGTTCCATCGGCTCTGGACCTCCGTTGTCATATCGTCTCGGTTGACGATATGATGTCGAGCTGGCGCGAGCCTGTCTCAGACTGAAGTCTTCCTGCTCCGCAATTGAAATGGCTTGTTCTAGTGAATCTAGTTCAAGCCGGAACAGGTGAGTCTTGACGGGACCATCCGCAAGACCCTGCATGAACACCGAAACCAACGTGTGTTCATCCACCGGATTGGAACTTATACAACTCGTAAGATGTCGTATATGTTGCGCGTAACCGTGCACATCACGCTTACCCTGCTTGAGCTTCAAGAGTTTGGTTCGAGCTCTGAACTCAGCTCTAGGCGGTTCAAACGTTTGTCTGAGCCGCGACTTGAAGACTTCCAACGACCCAAACGCATATGGGTCGTGCAACTTGAGCCCCAGTGCCCAAGTCTTGGCACGTCCTGCCAGACTTGACTGGGCAAATGCAACTTGCATATCCCCGTCGTTGATGCGCCGCGCCCTTATGGCGTCATCCAATTCGACGAATCATCTCAAGAGGGAGTCCTCTTCGACTCCCCTATACTTTGGAGATGTCAATCTTCAAGGTTTCGGGCCGACGCGAGTGCATCGACCCACCAGCAGCAGCCTGCTGCTGTCTCAACAGTTCAAGCTGTTGAGCACCTTGTTCTCTAAACAACTCTGCTTGTTGAGAACCTTGTTGGTGAAGCAAGGCTACTTTCTCGCGTTCTGCGTCAAGTTCATTTTGAATGAACTTGACGATAGTAGCATGTTGGGCATCTCTATTGAGAGCCTCAAGCATGACGCTAACAGCATGGATGCCCATGGTTGAACCCATTCGTTCAACCGCATCCCATTCGACATCGCTCAAATGGGAGTAGCCGTCACGCGTAGCGTGAAAGCTTTGGTCATCTTCATCATCCAACATATTTATGTCAGATGTGAACGTGGTCCTTGGACGGACTACGAAGTGCTACCAAGTGTCACGGTGCACCCTGAAGCTTGTACTGGTGACAGTACAAGCTACTTATTCTGTCGTCAGAATAAGGCGGTGCCTCGTAACTTCACGTACACTCGTACGTGCAGAGGAAGACGGTAAGAAGAAGCGAGTACTTGGTTAAAGTAAAAAGTAGAACTGTATTTATCATAGTTAATGTCTGCAATAAATCACTATTTATCTTCATCTAACTATGTCTAAATACAAATGTGTAAATGAAATATCTGCTCACCACTCATTGCGTGCGTCTGTCGTGGCGCGTCTTCGTTGGTTGATATAATGGCCTATATCAACCAATTAGGAACTACTCGTAAGTGCTACAGAATATTTGTCCTTATGACAATATTCAGAGAATATAACTCTTATAGTTATATTCTATTAACAATTTCTTATAAAATTGTTATGCAACGATTCACCCCGTTACACCAGGAGCGTCTGCATTAGCACGAAGAGGAAGATGTTGAGCCAGTAGAGCACAGCCGTGCTGAAGGACTAGATGCCGAGGAGAGGAGTGAAAAAGACAATTTTGAAGGGGAGATTGCTGCCAAAGACGTAGGGGATCTCGACGAACGTGATTCTTGGGAATGACCATCTAGTGATGTACGTCTGCGCGTCGCCTTGCGGTAGTAGACGGCTCGTTCCCGCAGGTCAAGGGCATACAAGCAACGTACGTCACGTATCCATGATACAGTGTTGTCACGAAAATGATGCCCACGGCTGAGTTTAGCTCTTGATACGTTGTGTAGTCGGATTTGACGAGCACGAGGCCGAAGATGATGGTCAGGATAAGCGCGAGCCTACACCGAAGGAAGTTGGACAATTGTGTTCGCAAGTACATTGACTGGAATCGCTGCATAATCAGTCAGAGTTGCATCCAGGAAGTAGCAGCTTGCTTGTGCTGGAACACTAGCTTCGGTAGACTATCGGGTGCAGGTTTCGTCACACCAGGTTCAGCTAGACGAGTCAGCAACACTTGGTGCTTTTGAGATAGATTTGTTGGAAATTGGCTATCTTCCATTTCGAGATGTTCAACCAGTCAGTAAGGCTCAGCAGTAAATCCAGTCAGTGGAAGCTCTTTAATCTCCGCACCTCTGACCTTCTATGTATATCATAATATGGATTAAATTTAATTTTTAAGCTAATTAGCTGTTCGTAAACCGTTTGATGGCGTTTGCAGTACGGAATAGCAAATTCGAAGTACGGAATAGCCTCGCCCAGAGAAGAATTGTATTTAGACATACCCCGGAGATTCGATTGCACATAACTGTAGCAGCTTCGCCATCTAAACAACATGTGAGACAAGAAATCGTCCCGTTGTAGCCATCATCCTGGACACGTCAGTCAGTCCACTGAACTGATACGATAGACGTGCGGTTGTTGCAAAAAGGTTATCATTCAATACTACCAAACCAAGTCTCATATGATGGCCTCGGGTCACCGTCTCGAGCATCCTCAAACCACTCGACTACGCTTTCCTGGCATACACGAACTCAGTGCTGAACATCTCACTGTCTACAATGTGTCGGATACCAAAGTCTCACGCTGGGGCTGGTCCCGCGTGACGTTTCAATCGTCCGACCTTGACTCCATGCCGTGGCTCGGATGGTTGTCTGCCTACACTTTCGCCCTCTTCTTCTTCTCCATGAGCCGATGTCTCGCGCTAACAGCTCTGATCGGTATGTACGGAAGCTCGAGTGACAACACCGTGATCGTCAGGGTTTCGGTGCTGAGCCTCGGATTTCTGGAAGACGTTGTCTGTGCCACCTATTTTGCAACTGCACTGTGGCTCTTCGATACTGTCCGACGTTTATTGACCAAGCACCCTTGGACAACTCCAGTAATGGCAAGCAGACGTGCTGGAGTCATGACAACATTCGTGGTCTCGTGGCTATTGTGTATCGTCACCATAGCTCCACCTGTCGCGGACCTGATGCTTGTCGTGTGTCGCCATATGAGATTCACGCTTGGCTTGTCAGCGACTTTGATTCGTGAGAGACACCATCTCAAAGCTGCTCCGATTTCTACTCGGGAAGTCTACGCAGCGTACGGGACTGCAGGATTTCTCATTGTCGTTGCTACCATTTTTGCACTTGCGCGTGCGCTGAGTAGCTGGGCTGACCTAGCTGTATGGAGTCCAACGCATCTTGTGCGAGTCCCTGTGTGCTTCTTAGAGTTGATAGGCTATGTAAACGCCTCAGCAGAGAAAGCGGCAGAAGGCGTGAAGTATGAAGCAGTGGCGTTGGAGGAAGGAAGTACGGATGGACCTGCTGTCTCTAAGACAATCAACACGGGATCATCACTGAGTGACGAAATGATAGAACGACAGCCTAAGCATTGCCGTGTTTTGCAAGTGTCTACCGCTTTTGCGGGGCTCGCGGTCCTGACATTGATGGTGATGGCACTTTGTAGTTCGTGCTCTTCTCTGATCGCGTATGCAGCGATCAACACGACTCTGAACGAGATGTTTGTTCACGCGTTCCAACCTTCCCTCACATACGTGGACCCTGCAAATGTCGATGGCAAGCCATCATGGGCCGAAAAATACGTCGACGCCTTAGAGTTGCATGAGTTTTTTGGAAAGAGCACGCTGTACCGACGCACATCAGGCTTTCACGGTGACCTCGCGTTCAATGTCAGCGTCGACCCCGCCGATCCACCGAATGTGCTGATCATTGGAGTCGAGTCGTTTCGATTTCGTGATTCACGCTACCTGGTGGGAGAAGAAGACCCATCGGATTTGTTCAGAGGAACAAACATGACGATAACTCCGAACTTTGACAAATGGGCAAGACGCGGTGTTGCTCTACGCAATATCTGGTCGAGTTATCCTACTAGTCGCTCCTTGGAGAGCATACTGTTTGCTCAGGTTCCTTATCAAAGCAGTGAGAAGACAGGGGTCACAGGTGGAAGGAGGTTTACAGAGCTTTCAGGTGTGCCGCAGCTTTTTGCCGGAAAAGGATACGAGACATACTTCACCACAGGATCTTCTATCACCCTGGACGACTGGAACATTTTCCTAATGAGCCATGGTTTCGGCACCGTGTGGGAAGTCAATGAAATGAAGGCGTTGTCAGAAAAGAAGCTCGGTATTCGTCGTGATGACTGGGACGGTGAAGCACACCGAGGATTCTACTGGGGTGTGCACGACGACCTCAGTTTTCAACTTCTTGGAGATTTGCTTGTTCAGAAGCATAAAGAGCAGAGAGACAGGTTAGATCAAGGAGAGCGAAAGCAGCCTTTGTTTTTGACGCACTACACTATCTCGAGTCATGGACCATTTGAGTGGCCAAAGTGGTATGAAGATGTCGACAAGCCTGATTTTTCCCAGTTGTACGAAGGAGAGAAGCACACTGAGCGCATCGATAGGTACATGAAGGTGAGGTACTTTACCGATGTGGAATTAGGAAAGTTCATGGACCGCATGGAGATGGAAGGTGTACTCAATGACACTATTGTTTTCATCGTGGGGGACCATGGTCAAGGGCCCGAAAACAATTTCCCAAATTCGATTGAGGAATCGATGACGCGTGTGCCAGCTGCTATCATTGCCGAAGGCCGACTTGGTGATGATGTGGGGACTGTGATCGAAGATGCTGCAGAGCATTATGACATTCTCAACACGCTTGCCGATATCACAGGATTGCCAGAAGGAGGATTGGAGCAAAATGGCGTCGGGCGTTCTCTCAAGCGCAAGATATCTTTTGGTGAACGTGTGGTATACAGCAACGACCCTTTGCGCAAGATGGCGATAGTACGTGGTCATCAGCGCCTCCGCTATGATGAAGTAGGCGAGGTGATGATGCTGCATGACACTGAAACTGACTACCACATGACTACAAACTTGCTGCCCGGGCTGACTTCTGAGGAGCTGGCTGAATGGAAGGCTTTGCGAGACGACGGTCGTCACATTGCTACTTACTTCAAAAAGCGCTGGGACGAGGACTGTTTGCTTGCTGTCGATTGCAACTCATAATGATGTATCAATGCATTTGTTTGGAATCGTTTGTATATTGCAACCAAAGTATACGAACTACACTCACCACATCGTATTTTAAGTAGCGTTAGTTGATGAGGGTGAGACAAGAAGCTAGAAATTGAGATGAACATGCGGGTGCATGGAACTAAAATCAGATTGTAACGTGTCTCAGCGCGTGTGACTGAGCTGGCCAGAAGTAAAAACAGTGAGTTGCAGAACAAAATTAAATGTGAGTTTGGATGGCTTGATGCCTTATTGTTACTAGGACATGCCAGTATCCTACCACGACAGATACTCAGTATCACAAAAACTAGGCTCTATCATCACTAACACATTACTCTAGAGGAACCGCAACTAGACCAAAAAAATGTCGAGATACTTGTATAGAAGATGCACAAGTCCGTCCCTCCTTGCACATGCTGTTGTGGCTTGAAACAAGGGTTGATTGTTCACTGGAATTGAATACAGGTGACAATTTAATAGCCTAGAACTAAAATTCAAACTCGCTTTTCTCCTGTATCTATGGCACATTACAGTTGTAACACAAAAGAAAGCTATACTAAGCTCACTACGTAGCACTTGACCAGCTCGTTACCAATTACTAACTTCAAGTACAACGCAAGTCTGTGTGTACGATTTCATTAGCTGCAAGATGAATTTTCATTCCGAATTTGGCCCTGAATTTGTTTTTTTACGTCTAAGGTATATTCTTGTGCACAGCAGCCATCTGTGGGCAAGCTTAACAACTCGTAAGACGATCAAAAATTAGCTAGCGCAGCAGCAAGTTGGTCACAATCAGGTTCGATGAGTTAAGAGTATGCCGTAAGCTACATTGTATGAGCGTCATTTTTCAACAAAATTTGTGCAAGATGTCTAAAGATCCTCCCGGCCCAGCACATAAGCGCCGGTTGTGACAACGTATCGTAGCTGACTTCCGTGTAAGCTGGTATCCTCTAGATGTGAAATAATTACTCGAGGCTTGCGTGTATACGGGATTCACGTTCTGCAGTTTCTACAGCTTGATGTTTGCGTATTGCAATGACCTTCACTTGACGCAGACCAATTGTTTCGATATCAGAAAAGGCCAATTTAAAAAATTGTTGTCATGGAAATGTTGCCGCCATATGCTCGGGCCACACATTCCCTGGACAGATTGCCGCAGGAACTGAATCTAAACAAAATATTCTTATCCAGCTCACAGTGTTCATATCACAAGCGGTTTAACAATCGCACGATAAGACGTTGAAGGTGTCCGTGAATGATTAGCGATTCGCAGTAGCTCGAGAATTTGAAAATTCATAGGCATTGCGCGCTCTCGCCGCTCCAGTATTTTTCCAGTTGACTTGAGCATGCTTCAGCGCTTGGGTAGTCCAGACAATGTCCGCCGCGATCGATTTGTTCCTGTTGCATTTCTGTTTTATTCTGCAATTGTTGATGATCGTATGGTCGGCATGGTATGGTTTAAGCTGCTCAGTCGCTATCCGATAGCACATCCACATTTAAAGGTATCCCCAGGTGTGATTTCCGAGTTGTAAAGAATGCGTTCAGGTGCTGGTGCATGTTGCCGCCAATATGTCGTGGGGATATAACGATGACAAATAAAAAGGCTCAAACAGTGTTGTTAGATGTTGAACAGAGGACAAAAAGCTGTGTATTTTAGCACCTATCTACGATTCGCGAGTTTTCGCAATAGCAATACCCAGCATATCTTCGAATGACTTTAAAAGATCCATATCCAAAGGCTCAGAAGACCCTCGCATTTCCTACAAGAATGAAGAAAACGTACATGTCATTGCCTTACCGTTAAGCTGAAGATCAGAGCGCGAATCGTTTAAGGCCGCGTGACAATGTTACCGGGTACAATATCAGGGCGATCCCTTCTGCAACCGAAAACATTACAGTGTTGTCAAATCAATGGTAAGCCGTTGGTTTGTCAGGGGCACCGGCTAGCTTTTTTACAGTGAAGTGTCGCGAAAAGTAGTAAAATTCTATGAAACGTGGCGTGGATCTCATCTTGCTTCGGATTACCTTGATCACGACCCGTCATTTGTCGAAACAGCATGAAGTAATATAAACCCTAATTTCTCCATCTGCCTAAAGGTTAATGGACTATGACAGATGCCTTTTCAATGCTTAGTGGCTCCAGCGACTCTAGCGTCACGGTTTCTGCGGAAACGCTGTTGACTTGTAGCGCCGCAGTCTCGTTGCTAATCCGGGAGACTGCAGATTGTAGCACATTCTCTCGCTCTTTTGAAGGCGCATCTTGCCGGCTGAGTCCATCTCCATCGCGTAAAAAGCAGCACCTGAACTTTTGACCACCGAAGTCGCTTGTTGGGCTGCAACTGTGTTCCTGCGATATGTGATCGCATTTAGATATCGTATTTTGACAAATCAGCTTTTGGGTAAATGCTATGAGTTTATGACAAGATGAACTCGAGGACCGCATAGCTTGTACAGCCACAAATTGAGTGCTTGTTTAAAGGTCTTCTTGACATTTCTCTTCGAAATAATTGACGTCGCGCTGCGCCGAAAGTGCGTCCGGAAATATTGCATGCCGTACTCGCCCATAGCTTGACAGTTTCGAGTTGCGATCTTGTTTGTGACCCGAAAAGTGTTTAATTCTCGTTGTTTTTATGTAAAAGATCACGAATATAACGGACGCGGTATCCAAGCGCATGAAGCGGATAGCTGCCAAATTGCGTTAAGAAGGTGCGTCAGAATGACGCTCTTAGCCCCAGAATTCTTTCTTACGTAAAACACATGGCGACGAAAAGTAACCCTGTAGCCATAAGTAGATAGTAGCACGTCATGATGAATTGGACCCACTTTGTCTCGCCATTTACTGAACAAGGACGATAGAAATAGCAACAGCGCTCAGTTCTGATGGTGCAGTTTTTTCCCTCCTGACACTGGATTCGTCTGCGGCTGAATCGCCACTTTTGATGGGGCTAATAAATTTATCTTAGTCGCCTGCATCTGTAGGTACACCGGGAAATTTGTTTTACTCAGGTGTAAAATCACGGCAGATGGTTCCTACTACGTTCTTTAGGTTAGTGCTTTAACTGTAACAATAAATCACAGGAAATTTATTTATTGCAAGATCGAAGGGTGAAGCTATCAGTGACTGAACGCGAGGTAAGTGCCAAAAATTTCAATCATACAATTGTGTCTTTGGATTGTGCAAATAACCCTTGGTATACCGTACATGTCGTACAGCATATCGCACTAAATGCGATCCTTTTTTTAGACAATCAACTGCGTGCGTCAAATAGTGACTTAGCCAAAGAGTGACTTTACAAATGTCTTTTTGCCTATAAGGGAGACAGGCTCGATCGCTTTTAGTGCGTGTGAGTACACCTATCCGCGTTATTTATAGACAGACACACACAGTTAAGTACGATTAAAAAGTGTGGCATTTAATTTTGCGCACAAGTCACTAATATCGACACCCTTCGGGCTCGCAATCAACTGTGCCGTACTTACTCCGTACTATAATCAAACGCATAAAAAGCAAATATAGTATAACGTGAAGTCAAGTAGCACCGCGAGCCCGACCATGGCTTCCACTTCATTCGTTACAGCATGCGTAAAACTGAACTGGAAAACGACGGCGTAGTAAGTATACGATGATTATATACTGGTAAGGTCAACGAACTTTTTGTACATGTGTTGTTAACGATCATTCTGACTGCAGTAGCAGCATCAGCAGCTGATATTTCTGTGCGATGGGGTATGTTGCATTTGATAGATAGAACAGCAAACCAATCCCGTAAGGACACGTACAAGCAGATGATTTCCTTGTAATTGCGTCGGGTTATATCACTGGATCGATGATATTACATATGTAAGCTTTCATTACTGCGTAGATTGACATCAACTACAAGACTAGTGTATCTTAACTGCAGAATTTTGGATCATGATCACCACCACGACCGCGTCCTAGCAGAACTGGATCCTGAAAGGTGTCGGTTTGACGCAAAGCAAGCTTAAATGGATAGTGACACGACGGATTGACGAATGATTTTTTTTTAGTTTTTTACTCGCCGTATCATTAGCAACATACCAATAACAGATCGCCACAGCGGCAATATTGCTGTTATCAAACGGTAGAGCCATTGCTACAATCATTAGCCACTGTATAAAAGCTGACCGTGACGGTAACTGGACACCAGGAACCACGTGAACTGCAACATTTCCGCGAATCTTCATTTAATTATTTATTTTGGTTATTTGCTGACCCGAATGAAAACAGATAGCCGAACCATTCTGGTCTCACCTGCGCAACTTTTGCTAACGTGCACCAATTATTTATCGTACACGTTTCTATCATCGTTTTCGTGATCGCCGGCGGCTCTTATATATACTCTGTAGGCGGCAGGAGCAAAAGTCATCGACGCGTTAAGATGCTTTAACATCGCAAGGTTCTGACTATTAACTTCTTTCGAACCAAGATCGCAGTGCAGCTTAATTTATTCTTATTTTAATGTGGCTATTTGTAAAATTCTTTTTAAATTTTTTTAGATTTAATGCTGCTTTAATTTTTACCAGCTTCGAGCTAAAATTTAGAATCAATTTTATGATTGTATATTTTGTAGCTTTACTTAATTGAAAAGCTTGATATTAAGCTTAGTCGGTAGAGCACCGGCAAGGGTCTTGAGATCAAATCACAGTACACTCATTTAAGTGAATCGTGGCAAGCTATTAAATTGTTAAGTCCGACTGGGTATGTGTGCATTAAAAGGGTGGGTATACCTGTAATGTTCCCAAAATATCTATCCTTTGTTTTCAATTTTTCTAAGAGTCTTCTATGTAGGAGTTGTTTTAGTTAAACTCAGTAAAATTTTCAATGAAATTAAATTTCATGTTCAGAAATAAAATATTTCTGAACAGGAAATTCAATCTCATAAGTTCTCTGCTTATCAAACAATTTCAGTCTATCAGCCAGAGTTTGTAGTAAATCGTAAGTACCTATTAAAGTAGGTCCAGCAATTGAGCTGTCATCGAATAGGCCCGCAATCTATCACCTACTATTGTCGACACCAATTACTTTGTCTATTGCTGGTTTCATACAAGTATTGAATCGACTTAAATATAGAAAGATATAGATTTAGATTGTTACAATGTGTAAAATGTCTGCGAAGGCCTTTGACAGGATATGATCAGCGGTATCTTGGTACAAACTCCCTAAAAAAGAAAAATTAGGCATACCGGAAATGCAGCACGATGCAACAAATAAGAGTTAATCCTCGTATATCTGTCGCGACTTCACACTAGCCGGGATGGCAATGACAGTGCTATATCCAGTCGGGAGTTTGTAATCGAGTGGTCACCGTAGAAGATTCTCCTGAGGTCTGTCCGGAAATAGAGATGCGAAATTGCAGCAAATGTAAAACTTTGCGTATATCCTTGTATGCAACTCAAGCAATCTACATAGCTGCAGTGCGCACTGCCACAGCACCGTATTATGTCGTTGAGTGTATATCCACGTAAACTCTTGCGCGGCCCGTCAAAGAATATTGCGTGGCTCGGGTTGCCTTTGGCTTGCACTTACTATCTATCACTTCGCGAACGCTTGGTGGACCATCAAGACAGGCGTGTACAAGCGCTGAAATTGAGGCGGGGCGCGAGGATGTCCTTCATCTATATACAAATCTTTCTTTTCTAATGACTGCTGGTGTGGCGCGAACAAAAACAAGCGTAGGAATGGAATTTCGCGAAGCTTTAAGCCATTTGTCGAGTTGGTGGGACGCTATATAAGGCATCATTATGAAACAGGGACGGGCAGCGCCTCTGGATGCCAAAAGGCAAAGGAATGTGAGTGGTGTCTTTTGTGGACGCTTTCGTCGACTTCAAAATTGCAAATGATTGGGTGATCTGAAAGATGTCGACACAACTTTTATAGCATCGCCGTTTTTGTGTGAACCCAACGGGTTAGTCCAATGTCGTGCTTATTTACCATATCGATACACACGACACTACGGGTGGTACGGAAGATATAAGTGCGTATCCTGAGTCATGAACACTTCGTCAAAGTATTCATGTGTTCATCCTGACCGAATGAAACTGGTCCACACGCGCTCGGGAACCTGATGTCGTTTCGATCAATTTACGTGATAATGGTTCAGTAATCTTAAAGCTTAATATGGAGTTGTAGAAGTTCGAGGAGGATGACGGAAGAAAAGATAGCAAGGCACTTACCCGAAGGTTGTTAGGACGTCCCTATATGTTGAGTTGATGTGCGCAGGCGAAGGCAAATTGTGAAGTGAATATATTTTATGGTCCTTAGTTTGCAAACTTTCTTCGCAGCTTCAAGCCGCTCATTCCATGTACTTAAACAAACTATATCAGTCCCACTGATTTATCCAGACCAATGATCACCCTTCGATCTTCTCAAGATCTTCTAGAAGGTTTAAGAAGCTATTCTTGTGACGTCATCCGATGACGTCATGCTGTGCTTCTTCTCAGCAATTCCTTCTCGATTCTTCCAAACACATCCATGAACATAAAAAGCAGTAGACGGTGCTATCTTAACACTCCCACTCACCGCTTTTGCTAAATGCCCTTGGGTCCAATGCTGCTTGCTTGTAGCAAATATTATAGTCGCTTGGTCCCCATAGCCTTCGTCAGCATGTCGGCCAACTGGTCCATGGTGGAGATGTACTTGACCATGATGATGTCGTGGGCCACATTCTCTTGGATGAAGTGGTGACGAATGGCAACGTGCTTGGATCTGGCATTGTATCCGGCTTTGCTGGCAAGCCCAGTTGCTCCTTGATTGTCGTCCCAGACTTAAGTTGCTCCCACTTGCTCGTGACCTAAATCCTTGAGCAGCGCACGAACCCACAACACTTCCTGTGTACACAGGCTTAAAGCCATGTACTCGGCCTCAGCAGAGCTTAGATCCACTGTGCCTTGGTACTTGGACTTGTATATGGCTGGTGCGCCACCGATGATCACCATTATCCCTGACACTGAGCGTCGATCATCGAAGTTGCTACCCCAGTCCGCGTCCGTGTACGCTGTAGCTGTTACTTCGCTAGCGCTGCCGTCGTAGGTTATTTCGTAGTCTCTTGTCGTCTTGAGATACCGAATAACACGAATGGCTGCCTTTCAAAGTTGCTAACTTGGATTCTCCAAAAACCTTGACAACTGCGTGATGATATACATCACATCTGGGCGCGTACATGTCGTGATGTATAGCAAACATCCGATCAGCGACCTGTACGGCTTCGACTGGGTTTCTGCTCTATCGACATCCGTCGTTGGTGATTGCATCTGTGACAGCTTCAACTTGGACTTACATGGGTTGAACACTGCCTTTGCGTACGCTTAATTAAAACGGCTGACCACATCATCGATGTATCGAATCTTTCGAATCATCAGCTTACTGCAATTGTGGTCATGATCGATCTCCATGCCAAGAATAAATCTAGCCTTGCCTAGATCCTTCATCCAAAATAAGCTCTTGAGTGCTGTCTTGACCTCTTGGATCTCCCTGCGGTTCTTGGCGGCGATGATCATGTCGTCGACGTAGAGAAACACATAGATGTAATTTGTCATCTTGACTCTTGACGTAGATACACTAATCTGCTCCACTGCTACAAAATACTATCTCTCAGAATGCAGCATCGATTGTCTTGTTCCACGCATTGAAGCCTGCTTGAGACCGTAGATTGCCTTATCCAACTTGCACATCATATTCTCAGCATTAGGTATGCCATTTGGCACTTCCATGCACACCTCTTCCTTAAGATCACTTTCAAGAACGCCGTGTCTGCATCCAGCTGCTCAGTGACGTATCCCTTGGTCACCACCACAGCTACCACGACCCTGATCGAGTTCATGTTTGCCACGAGAGAGTACGTCTCGAAGAAGTCGACACCGAATTTCTGCTTGAACTCCTTTGCGACGAGTCGAGCTTTGTAGCGCACCACTTGTCTGTGTTCGTTTCGCTTCATAGCGAATATCGATCTGCACCCGATTGGTCGAATGTCTTGCCGTTTTGGTACCAGTGTCTAGGACCCGTTATCCGCGTGCGCCTTGAGCTCCGCTTGCATCGCTTGAATTCACTTGCTGGTTGTCGTTGCTTCTTAACGCTTGACTGTATGTTGATGGAGCGTCGTCTGCCTCACCAACACTTGCAGCATAGGCTAATACAGCCTCTGCAATAAGACCCTTGTCATCGATTCTTGCACGCTTTGGAGAAAATGGTCCATCGCTACCTTCTGACGTGTCTTCACTGCTATTCCCATTCTCAAGCAGCAGCATTCTGTCTCGTGAGCGTCTCGTCCGATATATCTCCGGCTAAAATTTTAACCGGTCCTCCTGAAAAGCTTGTCTCGGAACTTGATATTCCGTTAACTTATCGTCTCTTGGTTCTTGAGTTCCTGAATCGAGTACTTGAGGTATGATGATACCTGTTTCGAATGGAGCCAATTCCATCTTGTACATCTCGACATCAGGAGCGCTTTCTTCGACATATTACATCGTCTCGTCTCCATCGGGCGGACGAACCACCGGAATCACTGCTTCATCAGTGTCCCAAAAATACTTGATGACTAGTACTTTCTCAGGTACCACCGTGTCGTGTATGCCTTCAACTTCCCGCTCGTCCAGCTTTACGGAGCGCGATATGACAACCTTCGACCTTTCCAGACTAAACACCCTGTATCCCCGGGAGTTCTCCGCATATCCGAGGAATACACACAGGTAGCTCTTTGGTTCGAGCTTCTTCCTCTTTTCGTCGTCAATGTGAGCATACCCTTGCGATCCAAACACACGCAAATGCTCAATACTCGGCTTCATCATGAAACCAACCTCGAACGGTGTTACGTCCGAATTTGCAGAGTTTGTGGATCTGTTGATCAAGTACACATCCGTTCTGACCGCCTCTGCCCACCACTGCATGCCGACATCTTATAGAACAGCATGCTCCTTTCCTTCTCCATGATAGTGTGATTCATGCGTTCCGCAGCACCGTTCGGTTGCGGGCTATATGGTACTGTTCGCTGGTGCATGATACCGTAACGGGCACAGAAATGGGCAAACTTCTTTTTACAAACTCCTTCCCGTTATCCGACCGTAAACATTTTCAGTGCTTGCCCCATTGATTCTCGTAGAATGCCTTGAACTAGCTAAGTCTTGCGGCCACCTCGCTCTTGTGCTTCATGAAGTACGCTGCCACTAATCTTGAGTAGTCGTCTACGAATGTCAATACGGATCGTGCACCACCCTTTGAGACCGTCTTCATCGGTCCAATCACGTCCGTGTGTACTAGTTCCAACACATGTGACGTCCTTGTTAGCGATTGAGACGGGAATGTATCGACCGTCTGCTTGCCCTTTCTGCATCCACTGCACAGCTTCTCGATGCCCGCTTTACCGCAGGCATACCACTCGTAGCGCGCTGTGTCTTGTCCATACCAGATCTTCCGGGGTGTCCCAAGCGAGCGTGCCAAAGCTCCCACTCACTTTCAGCCCATGCGTATTCCACAAACCGAGCTTCTTCTTGTTCGCAATCCAGGAAGTAAGCCTTGCCAATCTTCTTGCCGCTTGCAATCGCGTGCTTGGCACTTTTAATGATGGAGGACGAGCTTCGAAACTCCACCCTCATGCCTCGTCCTGCCAGTTTGCCAACGGACAGCAATCGTTTGTCAAGTCCTGGTATGTGCATGACCTCGACCTTCATGGTCCGTCGACCTTCCAGACCTTTCAGCTTGACTGTTCCCACTCCAACTACCTGGAGCTTCTTGTCATCAGCGATAGAGACTTGTTGACCAGTATTTAACTCCTTGTACTCAAAGAGTTCGCTCCGATGTGGTGTCATGTGCGACGTAGCCCCACTGTCGATAAGCCATTCTTCGTATCGCAATTCACCAGCAGCAAACACAGCACCTTCTTCCTCGGAATTGCTACGCTTAAGGCAGTCCCGCTTATGGTGTCCGACTTGACCACACTTAAAGCACTTGCCTTTAATTCCGGTGTTGGTTTTCCGTAAATAGTTTCCCTTGCGGCCATTACCTTGGCCTCCCTTGAACCGCCTACCGTTGCTGCTTACAGGAAACGCCTTCTCCGTAGTCTCCTTTCTCTGCAATCAATCATGCTCCTTCAACAGCTTTTCCTTGACCTCGATGAGCGTGATATCATTGGATTCTCCTCAATTGACGAGATGAGCTCATACTCCGTCGGATGACTGCAAAGCAACACCACTAGTTGCCGAGAGTCATCGACTGTCTCTGTAAGTGTCTGGACGCCGACAACAAGCTCGTCAAAAGCATCCAAGTGCTTCGACATGGTCGAAGCATTCTCCATCTTGAACTCATGTAGACGACGTGTCATCTCGACACGATTGTGGAGCGTGGTGCGGTTGTAGAAGTCCCGCAAGATGACCCACGCGTGCATAGCTGTTGTCGCCGATCGTACCTTGGTCTGATGCTGTAGCTCTACGCCTTGAGCGATGATATAACCAATGCCTTAGCGTCGTTGAACAGCCAGGCATCAGTCATCTCTTCCTCTTTCTTAATGACTTGAACGTGCACCAGCAGCCCCTTGCGCGCCAACGTCATGCGCATGTTATACTCCCAGTGGGAGTAGTTTCCACTACCCAAAAGGACTTCACACCGCTTCCTTGTCACGGTGGACGTGGTGACTTGGCGGTTTGAAGCGGGTTGAGGCGGTTATCCTGTTGAGTTGATGTGCGCAGGCGAAGGCAAATTGTGAAGTGAATATATTTTATGGTCCTTAGTTTGCAAACTTTCTTCGCAGCTTCAAGCCACTCATTCCATGTACTTAAACAAACTATATCAGTCCCACTGATTTATCCAGACCAATGATCACCCTTCGATCTTCTCAAGATCTTCTAGAAGGTTTAAGAAGCTATTCTTGTGACGTCATCCGATGACGTCATGCTGTGCTTCTTCTCAGCAATTCCTTCTCGATTCTTCCAAACACATCCATGAACATAAAAAGCAGTAGACGGTGCTATCTTAAAACTATACCAGTAAACCGATCAATCACTCTGTATCGTAAGCTTTTAGGGTCCTTTCGACAGTGCAGAAAAGAATAAAAAGCTTGCATCGTTACTAGACGTGTACATTTGCCCACATATACCGGCCAGACCAATTCGCAAGCGCTTTAGTATCTTTGCCTTTTATCCACACGCGCACCTGACCGTCGAGTCATAGTCCTATATCATCAAAAAGAATTATGGGCTCTCCTCACGATTTGACGTAACACTTTTCTGATTTCAAGAGTTATGTGGGGGCGTCAAATATCACAAGAACGAGCGCTATCCGGTGCAATGCGGTATTTGCTTTATTAGGAGTAACTGTATTCTGGTGGTAACGAGAGCAAGCAAAAGAATTTTCATAAGGAAATTGCTATAAGCTCATAAATCGACAGATGAGCAAAGCGTCACTAAATTTTGCTTTCATAGTATGTGCGCCAATATACCCCCCCCCAAACCAGTGTTTACTGTTTTTAAAATCTGTTAGATGCTAATTCAAAAAACTAAAAAAACTATAAACTGACTCGATTCTAACATCGAAAAGAAAAGGGTGAATGCTTTGGCAATTGTAGTAATGGGTCAGACATTTGTAATGCTTAAGACTACTATGCATAGATTTGAGTTTAGGCGTAAGTCATAAGATTTTGAATACGTGCCTTAGTCACTGAGAATAGTTTTTTTCCATATATTTATCAAATTGTAGCTTTATTTCGCTTAATAAATACCACCATTATTGCATACTTTATAGCTTCAACTATTTCACTTAGAATTTAAGAAAGTTCAACAAAAGATAACCTTATATCTACTACAGTAGAACCTGTCTACACTATGACTACCTCACATAAATGTATTGTTCTTATATACATATCCTGTCCGGTCCCAAGTAGGTCACGTAAATGTATTAACCATACCTAAAAAGTAAACAATTTACGCATGCGTTATTTTCTCCTCAGTTTTCTGGTAAATAACCTTCAATTTAATATAGTTATATATAATTGACTAATTTATAGACATGCCTTGAGGGTATTGTATTGGAACTCCTATTTGACCTATTTCAGTACACTTCGCAATCGTTCTTATGTGTTCTTTAATGCAAGATTATGTTGAGATTTGTCTAAAAAGTTTGCGGACAGAATCTTTTACGTCCGCAGATGCCCTCGATCGATATTCTCATATTATATGTCGGTGCCTCTACAACATCGAACAATATTCATCACGATTACATGTAAAGATTCCTGCTGTAGTGAGTGCTAAGACTACTCTTAGTCTTAATCATTCATTTTGGAGCGTATTCGAATCGTTCGTGTCGCTTGTTTCATTCATTTGTCCTGTTCGTCACTGTACAGGTATCTATTTTCCTGTGCTGTCCCGGAATTGTTTAAGTGCCAATGTAGGTCCGCATTAGAGCACACTTCAGGACACAAAGATGGCTGTGCACAGGGGCTATTGACAAGCACGCATGCGTAGCAAAATCGGATGCCCCTGTCATCACAGAGATGTAAAGGTACCGCAACAAGTCGAATTCTACTTTACGACAATTCAGTTGCCGTGCTGTCAATGAAGCCAAGGATATACGTGCTCGTGTAAGTAAGGGTCTTTTTGAGCAATGCAAGAATGATAGTGCCTACAAAGTTTATATATCTGTGCTGAGGAATAAAGTAGAATCTACTAAGATACTGCAGGTGTTGGATCGATTATGTTTTCACATCGTTGTGCATTGTGGCTCATGCAGCGGCCGCATCATCTCCACAAGCTCTAACGAATTTATTGCATCAGTGAAGCTGATGTCAGCTTGCTTTGGTTCAATATGATGCCTTTGCACTCCCTCACCTAATCACTCACTAACTCACTCATATCTTTTAATTAAACGACATCGCTTACTGTATCTGGAACGCTGACAATGATGTTTACCACACGACAATTTTGCTCAAAAAGGTTTGATTGCATATGATTACGACCAAAACTGACTTTAAAAACTAGCTAATTCCGACATCGCTCCCTGCATTTGTGGCGTATTATTGGACAACTACAAAGCGTTTTTATCAAACTGAGGGGATTTAAACCGAAAACGGAGGGGGGAATAATGATTTTTATCAGTTTATACCCTACAGGCGGTTCTAGAACTAATAATAATCGATAATCCACAATGTCAGACACGAATTTATAATTAACTATCTACATTTCGGCAGCTTAACCTTAAAGAAAAACTACAAAATGTCATCGGAAAGATCTTGCTTGTCCTTAAAATACTTATTTTGTCCTTGGCTGATCGTATAGCAGCAAGCATCGTGAATTTTACAACAGCTTGATGCATCCAGAACATGCTGCAGCAAATTTGCAAATGCAGTTTCTCAGTTTACCTTCAAAGGAATATATTCTTTACTTTCATTGTACTTCGCTTCATCTTACGACATACAGGAGCCGAGGAGAAATCCTGTATAAAATCCTGATTCAAAACATGCGCAATTTCACGCTCAGCAGGATGGTTTACGAGATTAAGGATATCTATTAGGTTCCGGTAGCGAAGATCTAAATTCTATTCTTCGAGGTCCTTGATCAGATTAGTGTCAACTGTCGACCTATTGCACGTAAAGGTGTCATGTTAGCGTAGGTAGTGCAAATCCGACACTGGTTATTGGAGTTGTGGATTGTCTCAAAAATCCATCCATGATCCATGGCTACAACAGAAATATGCATCGCTTTGATTACGTCTACCTCTTGTGGTCTGCTATCTTATCTTCATCTTATGAAGAGGCATTAACAGCGCTAATAGTAAGCCTTAAGGCTTCGGTAACTTTCTGCACTGCACGGCAGAGTCTGTGACGGCATGTTTTTGGTGGTAGATAGAACACGGTTGTGTTGCGCAGTGTACTAGCAGATGCAAGCTTCATAAAAGGGGGCTTGTGCACGCTGTTGTAAATAGTTAAAAAGACATTCGCCCTTCTATCTCCGCTTAAAATGGCTTAGCCACTCGATCATGATGACTTGTTTCAACCAATCGTTCGAGTTGCTACATTATTTGCATCCTAATCTTTTTTTGTTATAAAAATAGTATCGTTAAGTATTTTCTTTTGCCTATGACAAGAAGTGGTAGATTTAAGAAACCTCAGCATACTAGATTACAGTCGAAGTGAGGAGCTTATGCCCTGATCGCACCCTCCAAGATGCTTTGTGGCCAGTAAATTGTCCTTCTGTTGAGATGTTTAATGTCCGTGAAAGCAAGTAGGGAGCTTGGAAGTGGTTATGTCATGATGAACTTACCTGCATTCTGTAGTACATCCGGGTTTCATTTATGAAGTATATGTCACGTGGCTACTTATCCATTTTCATCGAATCTGCAGATAGTTTTTTTCAATAACAGGGATGTTCACTTCACCAGATATGTAAACGCGGCGGTGGGACCTGACACCGTAGTAATTTTTTGAATATAACCAGCTAGCTATTCTAGATCTCAAACGCCTACGGTAATTGTAGAGCTCATCAGGATAACACGCAGCCTTCACTTTGATGAGGCCACACAACATGGAAATTGGTGCTGTTATGTAAGTAGCAATTCGTGCAGAACCTTATCCATAGATAGGAAGTTCACTGTACTCTACCGCCTTGATGACAGACTCATATCCTTCTTCTTGGCAAGGGTTCTAACTGATCGTTTGAGTGTCAGAAAAAAACTGTTTCTAGGCTAACGGAAAAATTGTGAATTACTTGAAGCCAATTGATCAATTCTTCTTGCGTAAGCGACGGATGCCTAATCTTTCGCTCGCAAAGAGCAATATGAACTGCGTTGTCATTTTTGTATGGCTACATCTTTTTGGATATGTTGTAGTTGTGGTTCCGGATCTGGCCGCAACAGTGTTTATAGATGGCTTTTTTCTTGTGTGATTGCCACGACTCAATTAAGGTAAGCAGCACTGTTCAGTTTTACAGGTGCAAGCGGAGGATGGAGTTCGAATTTTTTTGTATGTGGACAAGCAGGGTTTAAAGGTGTTCAGTTTTTTACATTATTGTCAACAATGGTGTTGGAAGAGCGCGGCCGATGGTTTTCAAGGTACGACTGGTTATGTAGAAAAGGTAAAAAAATGGTTCGTTAGGACGCGACAGATCGTGAAAGGAAGTTTGTGCTAGAAAGAAATGGTGTATCATGGTGACCTACGCAGATGATATTAAAAGTGGCGGATGTAGAAGGTAGCAAGGAGCACGCCCATAGACATTTACTTATCAGCTTATTCATGTATCTACAGTCATTGACATAATTTTGGAATTTGAATTATTCAGAACCTTTGCCAGACACTCCGCATAGCATTGGCCACCTTGGTGAAATAAAATCAATTATATCATGTCCAACTCTATATTAATTTCGATAAAATGATTAATAGAAAAATTAGGCACGATTAACGTTGACATATTCTACAGTTCTACGTAAATTTAAGTACAACTAATGACACCCAGTTTTGTTTACGAGCACAACACTTTTTTGTAGCTACAAGTCCATTATTTAAATCGAAGTACACAAAAAAATTATTGCTTAGTTTTTGCGAAATGATCTAGATGATGCTTGTACAAATA